AAAGCGCGCCACACTGTATAGAAATCAACATTCTCTCCCATAATTCTGTGCATCTGGGACTACAGAAATGTCACTGTCCCTGCCCCACATCTTCAAATTAACATTTTCAGGTCACAACAATAAGTCTTCCCAAAGGGGACCTTCCGGAAAAACAAGCTATTTCCTCGGCTCATATTCCCCTGGAAAACAAAACAAAACACAAATAATATCTAGCGAGATGAGATCAGCCAATCCAAATCAGCAGAGAGGTCCGACTGGGAGACGTGAATAAATCCAGGACAAAACTGGGACTATCACTACAGAACAGGGATTTGTATTCTTTGAGAGGCTGAGCTACTATGAACTAACTACAATTTCTCCTTAATAAGGTGTGGGCAGACAGAATGCCCAGGTTGGATTCTGGCTTTGCCACTTTCCAGCTGGCTTAGCAAATGAGTCATGTAGAACAGTGCCTAACATTCAGTAAGTGCTAGCTTTCATTTATTTCTTTGTTTCTCTTTTTTGAGATGGAGTCTCGCTCTGTTGCCCAAGCCATAGTGCAGTGGTGCAATCTCGGCTCACTGCAACCCCTGCCTCCCAGGTTCAAGCGATTCTCCTGCCTCCGCCTCCTGAGTAGCTGGGACAGGAACGCACCACCATGCCTGGCTAATTTTTGTATTTTTAGTGGAGGTGAGGTTTTACCATATTGACCAGGCTGGTCTTGAACTCCTGACCTCAAGTGATCTGCCCACCTTGGCCTCCCAAAAGTGCTAGGATTTACAGGTGTGATCCACTGTACCTGGCCTATTTATTTCTTAATGAAATGAAATCATGTTTCTAAGGACTACTTATAAAATCTTATAATCAAAGTAATAACAACCTGGACAACACAGCAAGACCCTATCTCTACAAGAAATTAAAAAATTAAAGGCCAGTGCAATGGCTCACACTGGCATTCCTAGCACTTTGAGAGACCAAGGCAGGAGGATCACTTGAGCTCAGGAATTTGAGACCAGCCTGCACAACATGGTGAAACCCCATTGCTACAAAAAATACAAAAAATTGGCCAGGCATGGTGGCTCACACCTGTAATCTCACCACTTTGGGAGGCCGAGGCAGGCAGATCACCTGAGGTCAGGAGTTTGAGACCAGCCTGACTAACATGGTGAAACCCTGTCTCTACTAAAAATACAAAAATTAGCCAGGTGTAGTGGTGGGCGCCTGTAATCCCAGCTACTCGGGAGGCTGAGGCAGGAGAATCGCTTGAACCTGGGAGGT